TTCTTGTAAGAACGGCGTTCTCTGTAGGCTTCGGAAACCAGTGTTGGGTCGTTTGTATGTTCCCAATTTCTGTCCCTAAGGGATGTTTCTTCAAGGCGCCTAGTGTACTTTAATAGTAAATTTTCAAAGGTGAGTTCCACTGGGATGGCCTTTTCTCGTATTTTTTATTAACAAACTTGTGGCTTATAGCTGCTCCACATCTTGTGGAATGCGAACCTACCTGTATGTTTCCTAGTTGTCTTTTTAAAAAAAAACATACCGAGGACATCATTTCCGGAAGACGGAATCATTCAATCTTGTTCAAATGCATGCGGGTTTCCATGAGACAAGCGCTGCATCGGTTTGGTGAATTAGTGATTTTACGAACTTCCATGACGTCCGCGATCAGCAAGGCCGACCCGGCGTACCTTGGATTTCCCGGATTCGCCCATTTGCATTTTCGGAAATATCTCCGGAGACTTTCGTTACTGTAACTTCCTAGTGAGACAGAAGCGTCAGCGCTGGTATCGTCCTGGCTGCCCGGCCAGTGCGTATAAGGCTCTCGCTGTGATCCCGAAATCAAGGTCAGTGGTCGGCGAACCTCACCACATTTTTTGCAAGGCTGACGCAACCCAGCGGTATTTATAAATTGGACTTCGAGGTCAACAACCCGTCTTTATTGTCTGTTAAAGAAACAAAGGACTATAGTAAAAAGTATTTAGATTGCTGCGTCCTCCCGAGACTTGCCCCAACCCAAGAATCATTGTCGTTGGCAGTCGATAGGTATGTCCCGTTTTATTAGAGTCTAGAATCCGAAGTCGCGGTCGGTTGGATTGTTGTGATTTTGAGGATACAAGAGTTCATAATTACTATTGGATTGGTTATAATTTTGGGATTGGCCGACCCATTGCCAGGCGGGAGCTTATTTTGCCCATCCCCTCTGGAATCACTGATGTTCAGTTTACAAGATTAAAGGGGCAAATCCTCAGATGCATGGTTAACATTTGTAGGGCTTTTTGAAGGTTAATAGCACGGTTTTGGGACCTTTATACGCTAATTATGGGGAAAAGTGTGACGAAACCCCCAGAAGTCCGATGGCTTCTCTTTTTCATAACCATTGTGTGCGTCAACTCCATCAAGGTCATTTTTGGCCTACTTGTTCTGAAACAAGACCCTCAGACGATCACCTTCATAACCTTTACGCGCTTGTCCACTAGAGACACTCTGTCGGTCTCAATCACCGCATTTGAGAGCCACATGGCCCTGATCGCAGTCAACGGGAGCGCGATAGAGAGCGCTAGGTACTCTTTCAGAAGGGAAGTTTCGCTGTCGACTTTCGTCCGGGTCACCACGTTCTTTGTGTTCACATCTTCCAAAAGCTTTGACTGAACTACTAGCTTTTTCTCAAATATCTCGTTTAAAATAAAACAGCTGCACTGGTCTTTCCAAATTAGCAGTGAAGATTTAACTTCACTATCGACAGGTGTTGAATGCATGGCGTCCCAAGTTGGAAACACGTTGTACAGACAGAGGAATCGAGAGAATTTTGAGATAGGTTTATTTGAAGTGCAATGTAATAGATTTTTTTAATCACAGATTATCTCGGAGTGAATAATTTAGAAAAATGGCTAGTGTTTGCTCTATAGTTAGACCAAGCGGCGAAACAATATGCTACCGAATTCACACTAGCAAAGACGTGAACCAATTTTGAACTTATCGTGCGTATGTCGGTCCACAATCTTTTTCTAAGCAACACTTTCACAGCCGTTAGAGCTCAAAACACGGTTGCAAGAATGCTGTGATCGTAAATCTCCTCATAGAAGCGGTATATCGCAGACTAGTGTCAAGTCATGTTCTCTACCCCCATTAAAACCTCTCCTTTCAGCGTCAGGTCTGATTTTAGAGTTCAGCAGCACAGTTGTGCTCTGTTCCATGACCCACAAATACCACATCAGCTACAGTAATTTGTATCTGTTGCCCGTGGCCATGAAATCTTCGGTCTACCTGGTGCGTTCATTAAATACTTTTTACCCTTTTCCCAGGCCTTTTTAGCCGTGGCTGTATCCAGCACTTTTTCTAAATGACAAATCCTTGGTCCTCATTCAGCATGTACCCTAGAGAAACCCAAGGAAATCCGTTACCTATTTGTTTTTTTGCTCCTTACCTGAGAAGCCTCAACTATCTCTTCAAATTTATTNGCAGGACAGTTGTGCTCTGTTCCATGACCCACAAATACCACATCAGCTACAGTAATTTGTATCTGTTGCCCGTGGCCATGAAATCTTCGGTCTACCTGGTGCGTTCATTAAATACTTTTTACCCTTTTCCCAGGCCTTTTTAGCCGTGGCTGTATCCAGCACTTTTTCTAAATGACAAATCCTTGGTCCTCATTCAGCATGTACCCTAGAGAAACCCAAGGAAATCCGTTACCTATTTATTTTTTTGCTCCTTACCTGAGAAGCCTCAATTATCTCTTCAAATTTATTAAGTTACTTGGACACTTTTGAAAAGGACATGCAAACACTAGAACATTGCAGCAAGAATATATTAAAGCAACTACGCCACCAAGTCTAACAGCTCTTGTGTTTCATTAGGCCATCGCCGCTACATCTCGGCACCATGCTGTTTATCATCCATGCTTCTTATGCGTAAGATCATACCCGTGCCAAATTCTGACATGAGTAGTTTCCCTGTAGGCTGATTCCAGGCCCAAACTTCAAATTTCCGGCTACATTACCTCAAATCTGGCTTTTTCTGTCCAGTATAGCTTCCTAGAAGCTACATTCCTTTTTATATCTAACTGTAGCATCATATTAGACCTGACAAGTCTGATCCACGTTCCAAAGAATTAGCGAGTTTATTCTTCGTCAGTAAACATCACACTACGTACGTAGGAACTTCCGTTTTGCTGACTCTAACCGGCATTGTATCGACATTTTCATTCGCCGTTATCTGTTCGAGGCCATGTGTTCAATCTATCTTTTAGTTTACAATTATCAAGTGAATTTTCTAGTAAATTTCATTCGTGTCCAACCCTCCACCTTAGCTTTTAAGGGTTCCTCAGTTGAAATTTTTCACCACTTACTTGGCATGTTCCTCGGGTTTTTCCGTGACAACTACCCAGGTGCCGACCGATTCTGGACGGCAATTGCTTGATTACTGCATGTTCCCTAGGTGCGAGAGATCTCAATTAACGTGGTGCAGCTCTGGATTTAACGGTAAGCACGCAACCCGTAGTGAAACCAAAAGATAACTAGCTATTTATACCGCCAGCCAATAATGACGCAGAAAGGAGAATCCTTCATTCAACCAAGCATTTGTGACTTGCACTAAAGATGGCTTCGGATTTCAATAATCTAACAAAAATGCTTTGGTTTAGCCCATGCTGCTACGGCCCAAGTTCCCACCAAGCGAATGAGACAGAAAAAAAATAAGCAAACAAATGTGAATACAGAGTGAAGCGAACGAAGCGAGATGGATCATTCAACTTACACTCCAATAGAAATCCAGGTTTTTAGCAATGAACTTAAATTTCCGTGGAATAAATGGAGCTTTTCTGGAAGTCCACTAATTTACACGAGAGACTGAGCTGAATCTCTCGTTTATGATATTCTACAACTGAATGTGCTGCACATAGACCGCCTCATGATTCAGTTGGCACGACATTTGAGATATTGCAGTATATTTTTATGGAGTAAACTACTCTCAAGTTTGCTGAAAACTCTTCGACAGCCCGTTACCGGTTTTGCCCTTCTTGGGGCTCATCAGATGGGTGCAGTCCCCGAGTTTCTGTCAACCTTACGATCTAATGGAACCCAAATTGAACTGTTTTCGAGAAATACACTAATTTGCAAATCAGTTTGGTTTTCACGGGACTGCTCGAATATCGTGCCAACTGAATCATGAGTCGTGGGCTGCGAAGAGTTTTCAGCAAACTTGTGAGTAGTTTCTTTTATGGTGCTTTTCTGTTTAGCAGCAAAACAACAATAGGTATTTAGTTTTTCTCCAGTGATAAGTGAAAACACAATCAAGTTTGTGATCAGTCAAATCAAAGTATCCCTTGATTCCTTTTTCAAATGAGCACACACTCTACAGCTTACTGTAGACGGATCACCCAGAGTTAAATCGCATGTAATTTTTATTCACATTCTCATCGCACTGAGTTGTCGAAGTCAGCAGTTATTTAGTGACCGTAACTATACTAATGGGTCTATTTGGATTTCGTCAGTTTGCTGTAAAAACATGAACAAAAACGAATGAGTCGTTGAGATTTTTAAACGAGATCTACCTGGTCAGAGGGCATGACTTTCCTCAAGTCCAAGAAATCCCTTCTAGTTGAGGAAATATCTGACTCTCAGAAAGGCTAAAGAAGTAACTGGTTGTGAAGGCTCCCCTGGCACACTGTAGAACAATGTAAGTGTCCACACGTTTGTGTGGCACAGAAATAGTTATAGACTTGATCACTACATACCGAGATGCCTTAAACCTACCGGCAAACAAATTCCATAGAAACGTGATCCACCGATGGTCTATGTAGAGCATATACTAGGAGCGTTTGCTGCTTACATTCTGTCTGATTAACCTCAATTCTGCTCAGATAACCCAGGGGTTCTTTCTAAACAATTTTTATCTGCTTGGCGTTAGTTCAGAAAGTGATTCAGCCGGATAAACGAACCCGTTTAGACATGCAGTATCAGTGTGTCATCGAAGCCACCCCAATTCGAAGGCTGATTATTATGATTCTATATCTGTACTTGCCTTTCCTTTGGGTTTCCTTTGTCCTTGTCTCCAATTGATTAGTCTCTGTCCACCATACTGGTACTTCAGTTTTTTGTCAATCTTTTGTCATATGTGCGTTTTAAATAACCACCCTGGCGATGACCTGAACGAATGATCCGTGGTATATGTCTGTATACTTCACAGTTTGAGAGTGAGGCAATTGTGAGGCAATTATCCAGCTCAGACAAACAGTCTACGTGTGATTCAGTGGATGTCTATCCTGACATGACTGGTGCATAAACTCATTCTCGCCCTGGACTTGTATGACAAATTACCGTAAAAATATTCTTATGTGACGCTCCCAAAACATACACTTGTCGCTTTACAAGATGTCTAACGAAACCTACAGATGGTCATCAGAAAATTGCTGAAGAACTTCCATATCTGAAGAAAACTCCAAGACTTGCCTAGGAGAACACTTAAAGTTCATCGACACCAAAATGTGTAATGCGTTCATCCGAGAAGTTTAATCTGGATCTCCGCTTAAAATGACCTCAGCTATCCGTAACAATTGTAACAACAGGGGCCACTGAGAATCGACTTAACTTTTACCTAATTTATTACGTTTGTCAAACTGGCTTGGAGGAAGTACGTGATATAATGAGGAACTCCCAGATCCACATTACCACACTAAGACACGTATCCTGAGAGCGTGGGCTTCAAGTGGGAGGGCACCTCTCTTCTTATCACGGCCCTAGATTAGTTCTTTAAACTAAATCTATCTGATAGGGTTTAATCAGTTTCTATTCAGTTTCAGATACATAAATACGTATTTAGTATTTACATGATGATAAATCGGGAAGAAAACTCATGGACTCGGACAAACATATCTTAGAAGGTGTGAAGTTCTGACGATCTACCTGGATGATCAATGGCCCACATTTCAAGAAATACACTCTTGCAAATCAACTTGGTTTTCACGAGAGACTCAACTGAATCTCTCGTTTGTGATATTCTACAACTGAAGGTGCTGTGCACAGGCCACCTCACGTTTCAGTTGGCACGATATTCGAGATATCGCAGTATATTTTCATAAAAAAACTACTCTCAAGGTTGCTGAAAACTCTTCGGCAGCTCACGACTGGTTTCACCCTTCTTGGGGCTCATCAGGTAGACGCAGTCCCCAAGTTTCCGTCAACCTTATGTTTTAATTGAACCCAAATTGGACTGTTTTCGAGAAAAACACTCATTTGCAAATTTTAGCCCATGAAACCTTCGACTTCTGAAGATTATGTCGGCCTAATGGTATTGCCAATTTTTTCCACACAAGCTACCGCAATAGAAACTTCATCCCAACCAGCACGTTTGCCACTGACGCACACAGACATGCTTCCGCATTCGGATGAGCCGGATCCGACAACCAAAATGACGAGAAGTTATTAACGATAGTATGTGTTGTTCACCGGGCATTTGTTCACCACTTAAGTAATGAGCATAAGGAGCCGTTTCAATACCTGCTACAGTACAGCAATATCAAAACGGATAACCGGAATTTATGTGTTTTGCAATATTTCGTGTTGATTGAGCTATAAGCATTTCAGAAGAGCTGGTTACAATAGAAATATGGATGAAACTGTTCAACGAGTTTTCAGTAGAAGTCATCAGAAACATAAATGTTTTTGTTCGAGCCAAGTAATATTTTTAACGCAGATGGACTGCTTGTCAACCTTCCCCATAGGGAAATAACCAACGGTATTTTTCTGTGAAAGACAAGACTTCAAGTACGGAAAGCATATTTGGGCCCATTGTCTTTATTCAATATTACTGTAAATCCTGAGTGAGGTGTGACACAAACGCATCCACCAGAGATATAAATGTAATTTGGCTTCCAAATCAAACAAATTTTGGGTAACAGTGATTGAAAGATATCAACAAAGGAATGAGAAGAGTAACCTGCTAACCGAATTCTGCTGGGTAAAACGGGGACAGTCCAACGGCGTTCTGAGCAGCAGCGTAGATGCGGACAAAATTCCACGGACCTTTTATTCGCACTGTATGCCGCTTTGCACACGGAGAGACATGGAATAAAGCTTGGCATTCGGCTTCAAGTACTATGAACACAAGTCGCCAGACTTGATGGAGTTTGTACATTTCATCTGCCCAGGAAATAATCATAGTTCCACGGTGACCAGGATAAACTTGAACCGAAAACCTGACAGTTGGCACTAAGGGGAAACATTGAGGCTTGTGAAAATTTAGAAGTAGTGGTTGTTTAGCTATTCAGAATGGAAGTATACGGGCAAGAGCAAAACAGTTGCTGCGAGAACGGTAGCGTAACCATCATAAAAGGGCAAGTTAGCTAAATAGTTGCAATGAACAGGCAGCGACGCATTGCAATTTTTCTGTATCACTCACTTAGATGTGAGAAAAATAGCCTTCACGAACCGTGGTATGTGGATGTGAATATGTAGGGTTCCGAAGTTGCAGGGGGAACCAAGATCCGATATACCATTCAATAGACACGTTGTTTGGATGTTGGAAACATACGCTTTGATCTGATAAATACTTGGCTCCAATTGCCGCCTGAAAGCTACTGCTGTTACTACGCCACTTCGACTGATGGACAACATCACACGGACTTAATTAGAAGGCAATGAAATTCTGAAATACAGTAGCACCACCGACATTTTAGCCAAAAAGACGATAGGTGTCCCTTTCTTTGAAAGTAGTGAGGCTACGAAACCGGGTAAGAAACGTCAATGGCCTGAACAGTGCCCATTACTTCAAAGTATTCATTACAAAATAAAAACTGAAAAGAAATTTCACCTTAGTGATACCGGTTGTACCAGACGCACAAAACACTAGTTAAAGTGCCGTATAATCAGGAAACCAACTTCTTATGGGTTGAACACTAGATTCAGCAGGTTCGTTATTCTCATGAAAGGAGCAGTCATTTGCTGATTATGCAGCGGGTCGAACAACCAAAATATATATTTAAAGTTTGCTGTAAACCAGGCAGTTAGTAGGGCGCGAAATATCATATGAAATTTCGGTTGCTTTAGGGTTTTCTTGGGCACGTAAGGGAACGTAAAACTGGTTGAGCCCCCAGTAACACTGAATGGAAGATACTGTGAATTGGTATGTCACTTTTAGGTGATTTTAATGCGGATTGGCTTAGCGCTAGGAAATTAGTTTACCCAACCGATAAAGTGTCCTTTAAGGTTATGTTTTAGCTCTTCAAAGCAAAAGCTTGGCCGCTTCCATGAAAAGTGAAAGTGCTACGTTAGAAATTGTATTTACCAGAGGAAAAACCGGCAGAATCTGGGAACTCGGAACACAGGTGTGAGAAATATGTTATTCAAACGATTTACTGATATCGGTTGCTCATCTCTGAAAACACTGCGCATATTTTCATTGGCCAAAAGTATTTCCTCCTCAGTTCTACCAAGGGGTTTTGACAGGACTGACATGTTTTATTTGTTTACGTTGTGAAAAACATGTACATTTTTATATCCACTGGAAATTAGTAACACTAGTTACGTTTACCATACCGCTGTAGGTGCCCATGCAACGTATTCACACATAAAGAGCTATTTGGAAACACCGAGTAACACTCGAAATGCGGGATGGGTGAAACAACAGAGTTAACTTTCACACCACTGTGGCTATCTTGGAGCAGTTATTCTGGTTTCTTCCACCAAAAAGAGCATGTAAATTATGCCATTACCACGGCTTATTCAGACTGCACACCCTTGGCTTTTTCAGGCTTTGAACCCCGGGTCCCTGGCCTGAAAGATGAGCTGAACACACTTAATTTATCACTTATATACAAGCAAAAATCACACTTGAGTGATGGGGCAAGTTTTGCTTAATGCCTCAAATGGTACGTCAGGAACCGTCCAGGTTTTGTTGGTCGGTTAACCCGCCTGGCGGCACCCGCAACCGAGTAGCCTTGAGGCCTTCGAATTTTTTCACAGGTTCTATATAGCTACAGGGATGGCGGAGTGTCAAACTTATTTTTTTCCAAGTGGCCAATAATTAAAGAGAGAAAAAAGCGAAAGAAAGAGAAGTCTTGATAATGTAACATTAAACAAAAACATTCAACAACCTGTGAAGTCGGAGGGAACAAAGTCGATGTGAAACGTTTTCCTCACCTCTGGGATTGATTGGCGAAACTGATGTGTTAATTAGTCCTACAAAACCCACATACTTTACCACACAGTTCGTGGCGCGTAGACCAAAAATGTTGTTAACTAAACCGGTTGGTTAGAAGCTTTGAAAAATATAGGTTTATATGGACATACAGATTGTTTCAGGTACGCTGTGACGATTCAAAGCAAAGATGACCAAGGTACACAGACCACTTTTCACAATCACTCTGCAGGCTGGTAAAGCCGACTAATTTTTAGCCTTTCAAGCTGGTATAAAGACAAAGCAACTAGGAGAGATTTACCTGGGATCTAGGGGATTATCCCATCGGAACCGAGTCGGTATGCAAATGGTTGTCGAAAACTTGGTCACCTCTTTGATTCAGTTGTTCCTTAACCGCGAAAGTTTTCTTTCCGCACGAAGCATCAAGAAAATCCTTCTATCCTAGATACCAGCTCAAGTGAAATTCTTGTCGTTCACATTTGATTGAAAAGTATACACAAGGTTATTTAGGAACATATGGGAAATTTGTGTTTTCCGTATGCGCCAAATGGGTGTCTCACTGGTGGACTCAACCAACATGTATGCCCATTGGCACACAAATGGGAAAGCATTTAAGGAAAATTTATGTATACTCTATGGGTCCCAAATTAGGTAAAAGTGACGGCGTGTTATCGATGAACAACCGCCTTGTATTGTTTTCCCTAGACAAATAGAATAATCTCATAGCAAGGATGGTGACCAAAAAACAGCCGTTAACCACAGTTTCTTAAGGCCTCAAACAAAGGGCCTTCTCCTAAAGCAGTTAGCAAGTCTTGTTACATCAGCTGGAGACGCTAAACTTTTATTTACCGTAAAGTGATGATATACACTCCTATGGGCTTTCCTATTAAAAAGCCGAACTCACATCCAGGCGTGCGGAACACAATCCACGGTGAAAAATCACTTGTTCCATTATTTGCGTTCATGCTTTGGACCCTGTACTTGTAGGTTGTTTCCGATCGAACATCGTTTACGTGAAGCTCAGTCTGATGTGTTTCGGTGTAGTATTTTGAAATTGTCCCGGCTTTGTTGTGAACCACCGTTTCAATACGATAGACTGCGTTGCAGCATGAAGAAACTGGGTTCCAGAGCACCGAGTGTGCCAAACTGCTTTTGAATGATATTATGCGTAAATCCTTAGGAACTGATGGAGCTAGACGGCAAAAATATCAAACATTTTATGCGATAATCAGGGCGAACACTGCTAAACGAAAATTTTCAACTTCTTACGATGTATAACTTGTGGAAGTAGAGTGAAGCACACCTCATATCTTTTATTTACCTTGTTGTTCCAAGTGCATCGAAAAAACTCGTCGAAATTCTGCTTCAGCATCAAAAACTGGATTAATGTTCAGTTTTGTTTATTAAGGAATTTCATTTTATGTCATTTTCACCATATGCATGAAAAATTTTCTCTCCTCGGATCATGCCGTAAAGCAGGTGAGCTTACCTGTGTTCTGGCTGCAGAGGATTGCAGATTGTATCCATGGAACTATTTTGGTCAAAATTTAGAACCTTTGTTGATCAGCCAGGTGGCCGGTCAGGTTCGTTCTCCCATCTAAGTGTAAGCAAGTTCCTTGAAAACCTTCCATCTTCTGTCGCCTCTCCGTCTTTCAGTGTGATGGACCAGGTGGTTGGAGCACGAATTCACTGACCAGAATGTGTGGTTTGAGCCCGACCTCTGCCTCTCGACTTCCCCTGTCAAGGCCTGGGCTACCCGGCAGTATCCTAGCCCTCGCGGCTCCTTCGTATGGCATGGCAGTTAGGCACCGAAAGGGTGCTACAGCTGAACTTCTAATAATATTTATATACATGTCGGTGTAGTTGTGCATACAAATATGCATATTGTATATATACATATATATATATATGTATGTGCACAAGTAAGACCCTTACATATACGTAGGTATATACGTTACAGTGTCACTTGCTTTTTTTCAAATTTTTATGGATTGAGATGTCACTATACTATTATATTATTGCATTATAAATAGTACGCATCACATAACATATGGTATTACATATTATGTATATTATATCGTGAACGTTTAGATATCATCTTGTTGCATATCATATATGCATATATTCCATTATTACCTAATAAAAGTAACGGGTTAAAAGTGAAGCTTATAAAACTTATATGGTTATCTAGTCTCCCATTGGCCATTCACACAAAGTGGGCAAATACAATACCGATTGGGTTAGAGTGGAAACCTTACCGGGCAGTTTCTGAACGGAGGCCGAAATGAATGGAGACAACCCAACAAAGTTCTCCACGGCAAACAAAACACGTAGTTCCCACTGAGTAGGTGAAATGTTAATGGCCAGTTTCAAGGCAGCTGCTGGCGTGATTTTCTGCACCAGTTCTCCGTCGTTGACGCACAGTATGTGTACCTTATTAATTTGTTCTGCAGGGTTAAGTCGTCCTGACCAATCAACAACCAGTCCTCCATCCGCCCAAGTTACGTGAGGTTCCAACGGCTTCGATGGTCCTTTAGGAGAAAGAGATGTTTGTAAGGATGAAATAATCAGCTTGATATTTTCGTAAGTCTGATCAATATTCATGATGCCCCTGTTTTACGCGACGCGTGAAGTACACTTTTAAACATGTCTGGTGCTCAGGCGGGTCACAAAAATTTGAACCCATTTACTCGAGATTGTACAGTGCACATTTGCCGACGGAATGGTGATTGAGTATTGGCCGGACGTTTATATCCCAGAAAGTCACTCGCTTTAGGAATATAAAACTATGAGGTAGAAATTCACATCACAATGTGGGACACCATTTCAGCTGCGTCTCCATCTCGATTACGAATCAAAGACCAGTGGAAGATATCCCTGTATGATAAACAACAATCGTCCGTGAGTGCAAGATAGACCTGTTTATCCGGCGGTGCGCGGTAAATGCGTGAAAGCTGATTGGCACAATTCCGAGTTGAATAAAAAAATGCGACAAAATGAATGTGCGAATAAAAGAATGATTCTGGGGGACTCGAAAATGAAAAAAATTAGGCGTACTAAAACATTGGGTCCAGTAACACATATTAGGGTCCAGCAATCATATATGAAACAACTATTCAGGAAGCTTTAGTATGATTTGGCTAGTTGTTACCTCACGAACTTTTAGTCCATTTTTTGTTGATACATCCCCGATGGTCTGTCTAGAAACTTTCGTGTTGGATGGGACGAAACAAGTGACAACTGAGGACTAATACCCTCTGGTTTTACCTGTTACAGTTATTGGTTTTTCGAGTGGTGCACTACCCGGAAAATCCTGTCACAGTTGCAGCGTAGCAACTTGTCTGAGTCTACCGTGAACTGAGTTTTCACGGAAAATCCGACAACCAGTCAGTGCTGGTGCTTGGCTTAGTCCTACCGAATAGTGCATTGTCCAGTTGGTTTCTCTCCTTGCAGTGTAATCATCAACATTGAGCCATCCTACTAATGAAGTATCATTTGACTGGTCCTGGAGGGTGCGTTGGATTCGTTTGATTATTGATGTTTAATGACGAGATACACTAGTTGTAAGCTCTATGGTGTAACTATGAGCGTCTGTTTTCCAACCTGTCAGACGTAAGGTGCGAAATGAATCAGATTAGACTGACTGCGGAAAATGTAGGGAACGTCAATGGATTTTCGGTGACTGCGCATGATATCCTAAGCTCTTTGTTTTCAACTGAACCAAGGACTGCATGCACAGGAGAAATTAGTCGCAGTGTGTAAGTGTTCCACTAAAATATTGTGCTTTGAAAGATCAGTCTTGATGCAGTTTTAAACTGTGGGACGAATGATGTACCGTAAATGATCCGCCGTAGCCGCTGAATCTTCACATAAACAGCCTCAACAATTGTATAAAGTTAAGACTGAATTACGACCTTTAAAGTCGTAGATATCTACCTTACAACTGCGGTCTATGGGGTATAAAAAGCTGACTCGTAATATGCCTAATCTAATCGGTCTCGGCATTTGGTTGAAGCTTCCCATTTGAGGTCATGGCGAGGCAATGAAATTTCCTGAAGTAATGTGAAGAAAGTGAGTTTCCGTAAATGGAAACTGTGATCGTATGTCATCCAAGCATTGGTATGAATTTATTGCAGCATTTAAACCAACATGTAGTCAGTAACCCATGTCGTTCGTGGCCCAATATAGAGCAATATAGTTTTTCTTCAAGGTCGTCGGGTCGGTGGTTATCATTGTGGGCCACGTGCTCATGAAGTCCTACTTGGCCCTCATTCTAATGCTTTCACTCACACCAGATTCTTAACATCGAATTATATGTCCCTTGTATAATAGAGCCTTAACTTCATCGTGCGCAACATGGGTACCACAAACTAACCGTTACGCTCAGATCTATTTTTCATCATAAAATTGCCTCATGAATCTGGCTGCTGGTGGACACGTCTTGATTCCTTACCAGACATTCAGAAAACCCAACAATTACCTTGTGTTTCGAACCTGAGATGGCTCAATCAATCAGCACCCACCAGGTAAGTGAAGAATAGAAGAGAACGCACAGCAGACTGCCTTTTTATGACTGACTGCCTCCCATAAATACTGTTCATATAACTGGTTAAACATTACACCAATGTATTGACGCATCCAGTCCAAAACCATAGCAGTCTGAAATAATTTGATTCCGCAGGGAAATAGTCGAATGCCCATTGCTAATACAGGCAGTATTGTGATGTCCGATTTTGTTGAATTTTCAGTGATCGAGAAACATGAATACTCTCCTATTTAAATTTAGAGAATGTCCGTATTTACCCAGTACGATATTGGTTATCATTAGTGGTTAGCCTACAACATTTTTGACCCATCTGAGAAGCAACCAATCCTCGGAATTCGCTTAAAATTTGCACCTGAACACCAAATTTTGTATGTCCGTAGCATAACATCTATTTTGGATTAAGAATAGTCTCCAAGGAAGACAAATATGAACCACCCGTTTATGACATCGTTCAAACAGAATATTCAATACAAGAGTTATTCTAGGATTAATTTAGGCGAACACTCAACGTGTCATACCGTTTTCATTCCATATAATGTTCTGCGTAATGTTTTGATAACAGTCCGTCGGCAGACACCTAACGGCTTTGCCGACTTCAAAGATACATGAACGTATACTGAAATAAACCCCTTGAAGGAATTTAGTCTGCGTATTGATCAGTCTTGTAAGGATATACACCACACATTAATCAGTAAGCTGACAACTAATGAAGAACTACATATAACTTCATTAGGAAGCTCGGCGAGCACCTGATCAACAACCGAACAAGTATGTTTAGCTGGGCTGATGACCCATTAGAGAAAACTTTTGTCACAAAGGTTGAGCTCTCTAACGTGGGTGAACAGCAGAGATAAATCTTTCTGGGTTTTGCTTGCAAACAGCCTAGTTGTGCTTGTTAGTAGTTCAGTGGCCACGAACAACTTTTGACTCCCAAGCATGTTGTTCAGGTGAACTTCCAAATTACTCTGCCAAATATTTCTGCTGAGATTCGTAATTTTTGCACAAAAATTTGCGAAAAATTTGTCGTAACAATGATTTATCAGTGTCTTAAATTTAAATCAAACACTTAACTGCCTGTATCACGTAAAGCAGCATGTTAACATGCGCAGATGCACGTTGCACCAAATGCACTGTAGCCTGAGCATGTTGATCAAAAGAATAGTATTTGCTTGAACAATATCTGGGTGAAGAATGGTCACAGATTTACCATACTAATAAGGGTGAGTGACTCTTTTTTACCTTCAGACGGAAAAAAATTTGCGTAACAATTTGATTTATCCATAGATAGATTTAAGCGCAGTTTTCAATAGTTGCGTCCGGTTTGTATGGAACCGTTCTACTTGATTGTGCATTTCGATGTCAGCGCTTCAATACAGAGTACGGATATCGGAAAATTATGAACACTGATTCCAAAGCTTCATTTAGTTGGTGCGCGCCCGTGATAAGAATGCCGGTCACACTATGTTGAACTGATCGTGTGAAACTTCATCGCTAAACTATAGTTATACACATCCCTTTGACAATAGGAACGCACCTTATCGGCCGAAAACTGTCTGTAAGCTGCTTGAGTGGATGAGCCCAGCGCGGAGATCACCGGAATTCCGATGCTTAAAAAATAGTGAAACGCAACATAACCCTCCATCGGCCGACACAACATAAGTATTCTAAGTTGTATGATGACTTATTAGATACGAGTTTGCCCACACCACAATCCAACACATGTACAACCACGTAGCCATCACAATGGCATGTGCCAGGTCCCATATTGTGGAGGGGGGTTGAAGAGTCACCAGTGCGCGATGCAATCGCCATCATCAGTGAATAGGACCACTGAAATGAACTGATACCGGTCGCAATAATTATGATGCCATGAGTTATGTTGTAATGGGTGATACAGTTACTGGTAAAAATCTGAAGCTTTTCCTCAATTACTCCTTCAGCCTACCGTGTTAAACGCGCTTTATTCAATTGGCTAAAAAAGGCTTTATTCTTCCGAGCTCATAAGCCCAAAAACAAAATATTGATTTGGAATACTACTCAAATACGGCTATTTTCCCTAGAGTTTATGGAAGTACATTCACACAAATCATACTAAAGCTTTCCCACAATGCCAGAAAAAATACTGAAAATAAACTTTGTTCTGACTATCGGTGAACCCTGAATATTTTTTGGAAGTATGTCAAACTGAAGCGACTTGTTCGTTTAGTACAAAACGTAAAAGTTGTTTTACATTTTAATGGAAAATATTGCGGTAGGACCGCCACTCGAACGGCTAGAGTTGAGAAAATAGAAGCAAGCCCCTCAAAATGTACTCAAACCCGTGGTGGAGTTTTGGTCCACGAAGTAAAACAGGAATATGTAAAGCAAAGAGACGAAGGTGATACGGTGCTGACGCGCAGCTGCGTACTCTCTTAGATCTACTTGAGAATTCAACTATGAAGTAGTTTCAAAGACATCTTGGTTGTTTTACACTGACAAGATGCTTTAGGTCTTCATCCTAACGCTCCTAGAAGTTAAGAGTTTATTAGGAGAAAATAAACATCAGGATGCAGTAGAAATTACGAGATTCCTGCCTCTGGGTTTTTGTGTTATATGTTTCCGGAAACAGATCAATATTATCAGGATTCTTGGATCTGTGCCTCCAAATGCATCAGTCACTAGATTAATATCAACCAAGTCGATCTCGTGGGACTATTCGTTCTGTTTTTAAAGCTCACCAAAATATTTCATGGTGATCAGTGTTTTTGCACACAACTATCATTTCATCACATTTCGTTTATCTTTGTTCTGAAAAACAGCAGAACGGAGGTCCTCAGTGAAAATCAGTCCGACTGGGAAACTTGATGGAAAAAAACCGAATCTGTGGGAAAATACTCAAACATTCGCTTACTTGGTGGCGTGTCGATTCTTACGGAGTCCGAGTACCTTCCATAATGTACGGAGTTGAGCACCGCTTGTACTTTGTAAAAGTATCTTACGTTTGGCTTTAGATCGAACAAGTTTAGTTCTGTTGCATCTAAAGTAAAGTGTTTCTCTTCTGTACTGTTATGTATTCGGGTGGTGCGAGTCACCCGGTATGAGAGACGGCACGAAAGGGACAAATTGGTGGAAACTGGAAACCATTGAAGCCGGTGTCCCATTCTGTTTTCCAGCTGTTCAGCGGTGAAACCATCCGGCGATTCGAGAACTGCAAATAATGGCGGAGGGATAAACGGCATAAGTTACTACCGAAGTGTCAGCTACCACCAAAAACTGTAAGAACCTCATACAAAACGCCGAGGTAATAAACACAAACTATAATGGCCGTTTAAACGGCGAACAGGGAATTCAAGTGGATGTACCTGCGGCTTAGAGCAAACCGCACACGTTTTAGTCGGTTTCATCCTATGTTATAGGCTAATCCAAAAACGTATGCCAACCCATCACAATGAGCCTGTCGATAGTCCCAGTTCCATTCACCTGGGCAAACAAATGTCACTCAATGAGTGACATTATTGGATGTCATTCTTGAACTGTTCTTCCCTTATGTCACGGAAATTCCAGATCACATTGACCTCACCGATATAATGTTGGAGATCAAAATTTACCACAAAGTTCAAAAAGTTGGATGATATCCACTAATTTAAACGACGTACTTATGCTTTTTAGAGGCGCATAAGACAAAGCTTAATCAATTCTTATTCATCTAAGTAAGGAACTTCAACAGACTATTCAAAATCGCACTGCTTTTGTGAGACAGTGTGACTCGTTGGATTTCCTAGTTTTGGATTTCACACATATGATTAACCAGAATGATTCAGCAAGCACAACTGACAGTTACACCCCAGTGAAACACATGTGATACACTGCCGTACATCCGTGTCAATCTATCTGAATAAAGCCTCGTAATGTGGAGAAAACAAAAGTTGGAAAAGGCATGGGGAAACAGACAAGTCTACCGCAAATAACCAAGGCACTCTCACTTACTGTACCTAGTCAGACAAGCTGGATAGAGGCTGGCAGTATGAACGCAGTGTCGGTTAGCCACCAAATCAGTGTTTCTAGCCAGATAGGTTTGGTAGAGGGGACCCTATCCTGAACGGTGAACGATTCCACTGACTCCCAAGCTTTTCGGGACATCCTTAATTCCATTCCACAGTGACAAATTCCGTTAACCTATAGATTTCCACCACCCTGAATTAGGTATGGAAAACTACGTGTTAACGTAGCATGTATAACTCTTGGCCCAGCCACCTTGGCTTGCAGTCTGCCATAAGTAAATTCGTCTAATTTCTTGAAGGAATTAGTTATAAATTGAATTTACTTTATTACACACACAACTAACTTCACTCATGAACCATAAAATACAATATAAAACTTGCGCTGTTAGCTTCGGTTGTTCGTCAAAACTGTAAATATCAATGTGGATACTCTTCTGCGTGTAGCTTTCTCAGATGCCGAGGCCAGTTCATGTCTCATACCGCCTGATCTCAAGAAATTTATCATACATTTCCACTGTACTGTAGAAATATTGGGGCTTTTGCAAAATCTACCAAAATAGTCCTATTATAAAATAATGAACAGGTGTTTTGTTTGAAACAGAATTAATAACTAGTTGTGAGGGTTTTGCTCAATATTTTGACATCCTGATGAATGTGCTCTAAGAGCCAAGGAATCATTCCTGCAGCACACACCTTTTACCTACTACTAGCAGTTTTAAGACCACCTTTCATTAACTGAATGGGAAAACTGGGCTACTTCTGAGGAATTGATTTTACGTCGTGTAAACCAGGTCTTCAGATCTGAAACGTCGATGTGCAGCAATATTATCTCCGTCGAAAACTCCGTTGGCCGAGGCATCATCAGGACGCTCTGGTAGATAATGTGAGCCTTGCAATGAGGTAAAACGTATTATTCTATATAGGTACGAGGAATCTTGACTTTGCTGTGCGAATGTGCGTCCACGTCATTTGTGGTATATTTCCACTTGGCTACATTTTTGCTACGACCATATTTGTGCCAGGTCGACCAGGTCGACAACGGTTGTTTTACTTTACTATCTTCCTTGATCTAGAAACCAACCTACTGAAGCTATTCTGTCTGATCTCTAGGACGCATTGCTTAGTAGGGACCATTAATTTTGCTCATAATCTGTTCCTGTGCCCCAGACAAACCGTTCGGTATCCTGACGTTTCTTCTTACATGTTTCGACATGGTTCTCTGTTGAAATAGGTGGTAAGGTCTAGCAGGCAACGCCGGAGTAAGATCCATAAGTGCGAGAAACTGCCGCTGCCTTCCTGTCGCATATTTGTATGTCCTCTATTCACAGCACAAATCATTACCAACAAAAGGGTATTTGGTGAGTATCAGTCAGTGCTTTGTAAACGGCGCGTTTCTGCCACTGCGAAAAAGCACACCTATGCAAGTTGAATGCGGCTGAAATATCACCTGCGTAAGGATAAAAACGTTTGAGCTTGTAGTGATTCATTTTCCGGGCGCCATTATTCACGACCCTGTATCGCTTCAGACTTTTCACCCATCTGCTTAGAATCTACATACGTACTGTCTAAGAGAGAATGAAACTTGATAGACAGGTTTTTTTGGCAGTGCCAACCAGTAATTTCTCGAGGTAGTTAAGTATCAGGTATAGCAACTCCAAAACTCAAGGCCATCGCTTACCCGGCGAATTTCTTGTCTATAGGGTTTTCCAAACCACAAGTGTACTGGAGCGGCGGTCTGTTAATTGAATTCCAGGCGGATACTAAGGCAGCTATTTTATTTCAAGTGAAAGATGGATTCGCGTAACTTCCGTTTGCACCTCCCATCTAATCTATCGGGCTTTATTTTGCTGCCATGATTCCAGAAATCACTCTGATTAGTCCTGGTTAACCTTGGACTAAAGGGCTTATTCAACTATATGAAAAAACAAAATCTCGGAGGGAAATAGTTTGCTTGGAGCGTAGAGAAATTCCTTGAACAACGTCCACTTGTTCGTCAGAAATCTCGGTTATCCCAATGAATGAACATTTGTTCCAGAGCCAACCGACCCGAAGAGTTTTGAACAACCTTATAGGTATATTACGTCTATACAACTGTCAGTTTTTAAAATGAAATAAATCTCGACAATAAAAGATAATGGGGTAGTGAAACAACTTTTTTCTTTGTTTGAAACCACCCGAAAAACGCTCCATTGTGCAACTATTGACAGCGTGAGTACATAGGAACCAATGCATTCCTTTTCTCACCTGGGTATTTTGTTGTTACATTGCCTAACCACAATCTATTGATTTCCGTTTTCCCATTCATCAGCTCAATCCACAAACCATAGGCTGTGCACGCAGTCAAATTCTCTATTCGGCTTGATATTCTGGTACCTTTGACGATAAATTCTGATTTGTTGTTAATCACCCGAACCTGCACGTTGGTACCCAGTTGTACTTTATTCCACTTGATTTTCACGGAACCGTTTCCCAGTATGACTCCTTTGACTGTGATAGTTGTGTTCACTGAAATGCACATAAATGCAGAGTAATTCAACGGCAATCTTGATGTGTAAATGTACTAAAACAAACTACGGAATATTTTACATTTAAATAGGCAACCAAAGTTATCACCACCCTTCGTTATGGTGATTAAGTGATAATTTTTGTGGTGATTTTCTGTTTCATTGTTCAATTGAGGTAAAGTGTAACCCGGTAAGCTGCATGGATGAGCTTGGACACAGAATCTTATGCACAAAAATAACCAGAAGTTAAGTATTCTAACAAGCATCAGTTGACTTATGCAGCTGATGCGTACTGTGTGTTGCGACAACCCGAATAGCTGCATTAAGACTGCGCAAACGCTTGTGGGTCCTATTAATTCCTTGATAACGGAAAACATGCGCGATGGTTATGCACGATACGTGTCCTCGAAAACTAAGCCTGGAAGATGTACTTAATCATATAATGTTTGATGCAAAGTAACGATGGAAAACCCTGTGAAATAGCAAAATAAACAACTATATGCATCCAGCAAGGCTAAATCAGTTGAGAATCACGAAATCCCTTCTTTCAAAAGATCGCATACACGTGTGTGATAGCATCGTTACCAAGAATTCAGTTTAGTTCAGTTAGATCTGACTTTGGTTCGCGTGAATTCGGGTTTATGAAAGTTCAAAACTCCAGTACTAAGCGCCAGACTAAGTTCAGGTGCTTAAAAACATCTGTACTTTCTCAGAGAATTATTAAATCTTTCCGTTTTCAACTTAAGTTCCATTCTCTGATGGGTTCTTTTAATTCACTCTAAATACAATTCAACATGTGAAATTAGACGCCTGTGAACGGTTTTGTGTGAATTCCGATGACGCTGCTCAAATCACCTTACCACTCACATAAAGGGTGATTAAAACATATGCAGAAAGTTTTAAGCGTCTGAGGTGACACTTGGTCTGGGAATTGTGGCAGATTCATCGGACGATCGACACAGCAAGGAGAGTTATAGTGTAGTTGTACGAGTCGCCATGGCAACCAATTGAAATGATGTATCCTGAACATGTTTGCCAACTGAGACGTTGTAAATCGAGATAGAGCAGTGGATCAATGCGAGATAACCTCCTCGCGCGTCGAAAGCGTGGATTCTAAATCCAAGCCTTGAGAATGGCCTGCCCTGCAGGTGAGGTCCAACTGAGAACACTCTAGTACGGTCTCACTCGCGCTGATGTGACCTACCAAATCTTTTGGCTGAACAGATGCGGAAATGTCAGTGACAGTGATGTGAATAGCAGTTTAAAACGTTTCTTCCCCAGAATGAATGCATAGATGATCAAAGCAGTAAAGCGAGTCCTGAAAGTAAGTGAAAGATGAATCTTGGGTTATTTTAGTTCATAAAACCAGTAACATACCTCTGTTTGTCCTCAACTTTCGGCTTATCGATTTCCGGTATTGAAATCCAAGCTTCTGGCTGTAAACAGTGGCAATGTAGACATAAGTGGTTTCTGGAAGTAAATTTTCAGTGGTGGCGTTTTGAATGGTCACGAATTTTTGACTGATTCTCTGCGTAGACAGTTGTTCTGCATACCGTGTCAGCTTAAACCTCAGATCACAGCCCCTTGGGTACGTTGGGTTTGACGTCCATTCAATGTGTTGGGCTGTGGACCCCTTCACGTTGGAGACAAATATTCTGACATCTGGAAGTTTGTCAACGGCTGAAAAATAAGATTTTTCAGTTAGGATGCGGACTTGGCATCTTTTTGATGATCCATTCTACTGGGACGTGACAGAAACTTCGGGGATAAATACAAATACATAACTCGGCTATCTTATTACTAATTTATCCGTCAGTAATCATTATTACTGTCAGCATTAAAGGTCGCGTACTTTTTGTACGGTGGCTATGGTCATCACAGTTTCGTTCGCCGATAATCTAGGAAAGTAGAAGTAGATAGCCGCGCACTGGATGCGGTAGATGTTGTAATTGATACATCAGCACAGGGTTTTCTGTGGACTTTTCATTGACGAGATCGGGAGGGGATATATACATTGAAGGTAACGGCTTGGATGCAAGAGCGCTGTTAAGAGCGCGACTGGACCATGTCTGACTATGCCTCTAAACATCCAGTCTCATGGTCCTCATCCATAGAGACAGCAATGAACAGCACAGCTGGGGTTTCTGGGAGTGGTTTTATTACTGCACCACCATTGTTTGACCTCTCTTGGTTCGTTTTAGCCCCTCGTGTGGTTGTGTGGATGTGCTCTTTGACAAAATCGGTCACCTGGCACCCGGAGAATGTGACCAAGATCACGTAAATTATTTCTTCCCCAGAATGAATGCATAGATGATCAAAGCAGTAAAGCGAGTCCTGAAAGTAAGTGAAAGATGAATCTTGGGTTATTTTAGTTCATAAAACCAGTAACATACCTCTGTTTGTCCTCAACTTTCGGCTTATCGATTTCCGGTATTGAAATCCAAGCTTCTGGCTGTAAACAGTGGCAATGTAGACATAAGTGGTTTCTGGAAGTAAATTTTCAGTGGTGGCGTTTTGAATGGTCACGAATTTTTGACTGATTCTCTGCGTAGACAGTTGTTCTGCATACCGTGTCAGCTTAAACCTCAGATCACAGCCCCTTGGGTACGTTGGGTTTGACGTCCATTCAATGTGTTGGGCTGTGGACCCCTTCACGTTGGAGACAAATATTCTGACATCTGGAAGTTTGTCAACGGCTGAAAAATAAGATTTTTCAGTTAGGATGCGGACTTGGCATCTTTTTGATGATCCATTCTACTGGGACGTGACAGAAACTTCGGGGATAAATACAAATACATAACTCGGCTATCTTATTACTAATTTATCCGTCAGTAATCATTATTACTGTCAGCATTAAAGGTCGCGTACTTTTTGTACGGTGGCTATGGTCATCACAGTTTCGTTCGCCGATAATCTAGGAAAGTAGAAGTAGATAGCCGCGCACTGGATGCGGTAGATGTTGTAATTGATACATCAGCACAGGGTTTTCTGTGGACTTTTCATTGACGAGATCGGGAGGGGATATATACATTGAAGGTAACGGCTTGGATGCAAGAGCGCTGTTAAGAGCGCGACTGGACCATGTCTGACTATGCCTCTAAACATCCAGTCTCATGGTCCTCATCCATAGAGACAGCAATGAACAGCACAGCTGGGGTTTCTGGGAGTGGTTTTATTACTGCACCACCATTGTTTGACCTCTCTTGGTTCGTTTTAGCCCCTCGTGTGGTTGTGTGGATGTGCTCTTTGACAAAATCGGTCACCTGGCACCCGGAGAATGTGACCAAGATCACGTAAATTATAGAGTGTGGTAAGTTCAGCTAGCCTGGGTGAGTTAACTCTTCCAAAAATCACTCAATAAACTTCAGCGTTATAGGTCCCATGTTCCCACCAGACTCGCGCTTTGCTCTGAAGACATCCGTGGTATTGGTGATGTCCTCAGTGCGAACCAGCGAGGTTTTTGACCTGTATAATAATATGCAGCCAGCCGTCGTAATATAAACTCAACTCGCGACAAGCAAGCGGATGTCACACTTGCACAGTTGCTGCAAGTTCACGAAAGCTGCTCCGGGCTTCCCATTCCAGATGGAAATACTGCCACCTGTTAGATCACCGGGACTGACTTAGTTGCTCAAGTTGACAAATTAACCTGATACCTCAACCTACTCATTCGAAGGAATAAGACTAGGGTTAAGTCTCACCCTCCATTTCAGTAGCGCTTACACTTTGCAGATTGGAAGCACATGCCAAAGAATGTGGCGGGATTATTTATATTATACGATATATTTTGCATTGCAACGGCGTACTCAAAACATGTAGGCAAATGCCCTGAGAGTATTTCGACCCCACAAACACTAGAGGTTTGGACTAAGTTCTTTATGATCACATCGCTGGCGAAGTTGAATAGCAAGGTTGAGAGGGGGCATCCCTGCCTGACACCCCTTCATGTGATGAATTCCAGCTAGAGGTGACCATAGGCCTACAAACGTCTGCTGAAGTTGGTGTACGTTGTCTGAAGGAGGAATATGATTTTATGGAGGTCATGTGTGCCCCACAGACTCTGTCACAGTGCGTGACGTTCAGCAGTGTCAAGAAAGGCTTTCAAGTCAAGGGAGACCACCATTGTTGGTTGCTGGAAGCAGTGTCACTATTCGAAAATCTGTGGAAAGTCGAAATTGTGATCGGAGCATCCTGTTGCAGGACGGAAACCAGTTGATTTTCACAAATCTACTTCTCCTCTGTTCAGACAACCTTCGAAGAACAAGTTTGAGAGGCACTCTTGGTGCCACAGATACCAGGCCGTTGCCACGGTGTTTATGACACCGTGATCGCGCACCTATTGTGGAGATAGAAATGACTGTGCATGTGTTCCATTCTGCAGGCCTTTCCTCTCCACTCATGCAACGCCTACAAGTTTTATCCAATAGGTAAACCGGGGCTCTACATCTTCAATAAACTGTACTTGATGCAGACGGCTTGGTCCTGGTGCCTTTTCACATTTCAGCAGGCCTATGTTTTACTCTATTTATTCTTCCGACTGGCGATTGGGGCTTACATTCCATTCATCGGCAGGCACTGTGTCCATCAGCTGTTTGAGGTCTTCGACGCATTTCTACAGCCTAGAATTTTGGCAGTGGAATAATAGCAATCTTTTTTACTTATCAGTCTACTGATCACTGCTTCCCCCTGGCCAGTCACCGATAATAAGTAATGAAGGGCACGGCTGCTTCCGGTGTCAAAACTCCTCTCAGTTCTTTGAGCACACAATGTATACCACAGCTCCCATTCTTTCTTCAGGCTCTTATTACTAACTAGCCTTTGAGAGAATTGCATGCGCCATCGCACTCATTTTCTGGTGGATTAAGTTATCTATCGTCTATCAGGACTACCGATCTGGTTCGAATAAAGGTTTGATGAACGAGCTTATTTCGTTGGGGGAAACGATTGATGTATAGATCCGCCTCGCCTGGTTTTTAGGGCGAAATTTTGACAGATATCTCTTAATTAGAGCCCAAAGGCGATTGTTTGCTCTAGCGATACAGTTTTTATTACAATTTATGTTTTTTCTGACAGTGCAATAACTGGAAGTTAGGGCTGGATTGGGCGTTTCGATTGATGAAAAACAGGGCTCCTTTGTTCATCAGTTCGTTGCCACTTATAAAACACGATGCTTTTTTCACCAAAATCGTCCTGGTTTATTTTCAAGGGTTGGGTAACAGCCTTCGGACAGTGCATCTACGTCCACCGTTATCGCGGTATTTATAGCATTTTACGTTGCAGTAAACTAAAGATATCAGTGGAGGACCAGAAATTCTTATGTCTGTCCCAAAACGATGCCTTGAAATCCAAAATCACTCAAGCGACGAAAATTCGCATATCTTTCTCGACGTTCAGTCTTTACTTACCTTTATACTGGATAAACTTATTAAGCCGACGCTATAAGAACATTGCCCGGGAAATAGGTTTCAACTATTTTCAGGCACGGCTACAAATTTGAAACAAATTTGGAATCTTTATTCACTCTGAAACATGTGAAAATGTTTCCGAGAATGGAATGGTGCCCAATGCAGCTAGACGCTTCCAGTTGTAGTTTACTCCTAATTGCCCATCAGTGAGACGGATCGCATGTACAGTGGTGTAGAGTGATAAATCTTCGGGTGGCTTGTAGCTATTGACGGTAAACCAAGATGGCTGTCATCACGAATCACAGTTTGTCTAAACCAGCCTTGAGGCAAACTTCACGTGAATGTGAAGAGACGAGTAACAAAGTTTCTCTGCTCCAGCGGGAGAGATAAACCAGTGATGGACGTCATAACAACTTGAAATCAACAACACCTTGACAGAACCATAAATTTCCATTGTCACTAGAAGGCATATAACACTTACTTTGTAAGGTAAACAAATTAAGCGTTTCCTGTACATTTTTCTGTTGAACGATTTATTATTTAAAGATGAATGGATTCAGTGGAAATTAGAGAATGAGAATCCACATTTTTGTACACCTTTGTGGGTTGAGGTGATTCGTTCGAACGCGATCACCTGTACATTAGTCATACTTTAAAGTTAGTTGGGTTGAATGGGATCCACAGACCAGTGACGTAATGTGATCCGTTAGCATTACAAGGAAGAAACTAACAATGGCGTAAGTTTTACAACCTAGAGAAGCCTGGGGCAGAATATGGGGTTGGTCAAAAAGGGCGAAAGTGAGCGTGGGTTTGTCACAATGTAATCGAGTGGAAACTATCACATGATCTGAATTTTTCTCTAGTTTCAGGTAATTTAGTAAGCCTGAAATAATGAACAATGTTTAGACAACGACGAACCAGACTTTGAGAAAAATCCAAGGCATTTCTTTATGATTCCATGGATATGGCTGCAATAATTCTTTCGCTGCATGGATGCGTCCGTATCAGATCCCTTGTAAGCAGCAACTGGATTTATAGAAAAAGGCTTCACGGAGAATAGTAGACGGTTTCCTATTCGAGCTTGTATTAGAACTGGGCTTGCTCTAAATCACGTCACTATTCACGGCGATCTTCTTTAAGATGCTTTCAGGAAATATTGAGTAGAGTCTTGTGAAGGCTAGTGTATACTTAATATTGTCGAATCCAAGCCTACAAGTTCTTTACTTCTGTTGTCCAAATTCACCCTGGGTGATGTAGGGGTAACCACACGGTACTAGCAGAAGTGGATCCATCTAGACTGTGTTTGCTTAAATGGCATCAAAGTGTTTTTTTCTGACAAAAACATATGGATAGTTTATAATAATACCCTATTTCGGGATCAAATCCTACAGGGAGATGTTCTGATTTACGCAGTTTAACTGACAACAGAATTGCCTCCTGCGAAAAGTACAGGAAGGTAAGCGGTGTGTGAAAACTTTTTGGGAGGTGAATGAATAACGAAACAGTTAGGCACCCGCTGCCGTCAGCTGGATATTGACCAGAGAAAAGATTTGGCAAAATCTTGTCCCATATTGAAGGATTGGACAGTTCGCGTTGAGTCAATTCAGGGCCCTTATGGATCTTTTCTCTTTCATCCGTCCCGCTGCGATGATTCAGCTGCGAGTTGATAATAATAAGAGCATACTCAATCTCAGGATGACTAGATTGTATTAGTCGCAAAAACAGTTATCATAATGCCGCTGGGATAAATTAGTTGAGATTTTTACCGTTTTACGTGACAAAAATATCAATATCGTGGCAACTTTTTCGAGTTAGAGCCTAGAAGGTAATTTGCAACTGTCAATGAACTTTACTCTCGAAACTTTTGGATGAGGCCTTCATACACTAACAGAAGCTGACCTGATTACATCCGACGGTAGAAAATGCATGAATTTTCTACGTGTGCAACTAAGGGAAGTATATTTATCTTGAAACAGCGTTTTGGTGCATAAAATAAACGTTTAGGTCTGTAGAAGGGATTAAACTCATACCCTGAGAGCACTAATTTGAAATGGTTCATCTTTCAAACAGTGTGAGCACTAAGGAAACACATGAACTCTTGTATCACCTTATCAGTAGTCTAAGCATCGTAGGCAATCAACAGAAGCATACTTACTTGTTGGGCAGAATATATCTTCCATTCCAGCGGGGATGGTATGCAGTTCATCACCAAGGAATAATCCATCGAAAATTAAATTTGTTTCTCGGTTTCCTTGTTTTGCACTGATCCAATTCGTGCATTCAAATGGACCTAATAAAAGGAAAATAATATTCAATAAATCGAAAGTATGCAAATAAATAAATAGTTTACCGAACAATCAAAATATTTAGTTTTTAACAAATGCAGTTCCTGATTTTTTAATGCTAGATTCATAAGTGAGTCGCTAAAACAGGTTAACTGATTATCCGTGGTGTCTCAGAAGACAGTGGATTTTTCGCGCCTGTGTAGCATGCAGTAATCCCCCCAAACCCCACCAAGATATGGCTAATTGTTCTACAGTCCTATGTAAAGTCGGGCATGTATACAGATTGAACCGTAATATTCTGATGATGCTACGACCTGAAGCCGAGTTGTATGAGTAATATTTTGTTGATCGATGTGTTTAGTGATTGTAAGTCGAGTTGACTACTTAATGAAAATATAACTCTAAAATGATCTCAAATGGTCGATTTTCAAATATTTTGTCCCTTTACTGAATGACTTACGGATGAAGGTATTGTTCCAGTTTCGGAAGTTCACTGGTTTGTATAGACAACATCAGCCCCATGTCGGAATCTCTCTAAGAGTGCAACGTAATTTTCCAAATAAATTTATGGTTATTTCTCACCGGCACCTCGTGAATACCTTTAGTATTCAAATGAATGCCGTATCGAATTGAGTAATTCTAGGTGTTTGGCAGTATTTACCAAGTTAATAAAGTTAATATGGGATTCAGCACATTAGGGCTATCAGCTTGCGGGGTCAGAATACCTTGAAAGAAGGTAGGCGCATACATGAAGGCTTTTATATAATTTAAACCACTTCAGGTTTTTAAAAATGTGCGAACAGCCCACGATCATTTTCGCCCTTTTTGGAGCTCATCAGGTAGACACAGTCCCCGAGTTTCCGTCAACCTTATGTTCTACTTGAAACCAAATTGCGCCAAATTAGCGAAATGCACTCATCTGCAAACAAATTTGGTTTCGCGGGAGACTCACTTGGAAACCAGATGGATCTCTCGGCCTGTGTAGCATGCAGTAATCCCCCCAAACCCCACCAAGATATGGCTAATTGTTCTACAGTCCTATGTAAAGTCGGGCATGTATACAGATTGAACCGTAATATTCTGATGATGCTACGACCTGAAGCCGAGTTGTATGAGTAATATTTTGTTGATCGATGTGTTTAGTGATTGTAAGTCGAGTTGACTACTTAATGAAAATATAACTCTAAAATGATCTCAAATGGTCGATTTTCAAATATTTTGTCCCTTTACTGAATGACTTACGGATGAAGGTATTGTTCCAGTTTCGGAAGTTCACTGGTTTGTATAGACAACATCAGCCCCATGTCGGAATCTCTCTAAGAGTGCAACGTAATTTTCCAAATAAATTTATGGTTATTTCTCACCGGCACCTCGTGAATACCTTTAGTATTCAAATGAATGCCGTATCGAATTGAGTAATTCTAGGTGTTTGGCAGTATTTACCAAGTTAATAAAGTTAATATGGGATTCAGCACATTAGGGCTATCAGCTTGCGGGGTCAGAATACCTTGAAAGAAGGTAGGCGCATACATGAAGGCTTTTATATAATTTAAACCACTTCAGGTTTTTAAAAATGTGCGAACAGCCCACGATCATTTTCGCCCTTTTTGGAGCTCATCAGGTAGACACAGTCCCCGAGTTTCCGTCAACCTTATGTTCTACTTGAAACCAAATTGCGCCAAATTAGCGAAACATGAGGCGGCCTGGTACTGCACATTTAGTTGTTTGGAAACATCACAAACGAGAGGTTCAGCTGGGTTCTAGGTGAGTCTTTCACAAAACTAAATTAGTTTGTATCTCGCCAATTTTGTGTAATTTGGTCTCAAGAAGAACACAAAGTTGACGAAAACTCGGGGACTGCGCCTACCTCATTAGACCCAAAAAGGGCGAAACCAGTCGTGGGCTGTCGACGGATTTTCAGCAACGTTATGAGTAATGCGTTGCAAATATACATGTATCGCAATATCTCGAATATCGTAGCGACTGAAACATGAAGCGGCCTGGCGCTGCACATTCAGTTGCCTGGGAACATCAGAAAAGAGAGATTCAGTTGGATTCCTGATGGGCGTCTCGCAAAACCAAATTAGTTTGAAAATTAGTGTATTTCACTTCAGAATTTGGTACTTCTGGGGGAATTTCAAACAAGTGGATCGTTTTGATATGGTAATTTGCTAAATTGTCTCATCAAATCCGTTCACCATTTGTTTCGTGGTGACAGAATGTCACAAAATCCGATATGTTTTCGTTTTTGGGGTGATACCTTTGACCTAAGTTAGAGTACTTACCACATAGTAGAATGATCCAAAAGCATCCCCATACTAACATCCTAAAACTAGCGATGGCAGCAAAAGTGATACTTCTGATGAAGCAAAGTAGACAGTAAAATATTAATATTTGAACTCTCAACACTTTCTTATTGGTCAGAAGTGAAGCTTGTGCTCGGTCGATCAAGTGGTTACTGAACTAGAAATAGGGACAGAATTAGTGCAGGGAACAAAGACTCAACAGTGTGATTGTTGTGCTAATTGCTTCTGGTAAGAAGATCGAAAATGAATAAGAGGAATGTGTTCGAATGCCGCATACTTCCTAGACTAAAGACCATTGTCTATAGTTGTTCAAAATAGGCCGTTCAGGGTTTGTGAAAAACAGTTCGTGCTCCAAACAAAAATTCTTTGTTGCGGGGAATTCATTGTTTTATCAGCGCACCATAAGAAAATATTTCTACCCCAGGTGATTAAGCTATTTCGCTGTTTTAATTATGGGCTTCCCTTTTCATAGGTCTGTACAGGTGACATCGCTGGCTCTACACCAACAACTCAGTTATTATTCTGTCCGTAACGAACAGGCCGATAAGCAAAGGCGCCCGTATTGTACATATTCGTTCAAAAGAAGTTATTTGACATATAACAGTGGAATTTTGTGTAGGACATTGGCCCTTCGTTAAGCTTAAGTCAACTTGGAGATTTCGATAGTTCAAAAAAGCTGGTTATCCGTCATGATGATCAAAAGAGTTTTCGAGAAACTTCTGGGTATGTAGTGCAGCAACATTTGAATTTCACGAATATGCTGTAAGTTGTTGACAAGCAGAACCTGATACTCCTGTGGAGCCAAGTTTGTGTATCACATCCGACGTGCCACATCTCTGTAAGCAGGGTAATTCAACATGGTTAACAAAGGAACTTAAAAAATGATCTCACCTAAGGAAAGCCATTGACCTACTTTACACAAGCCCTCAGAAGAATATTTTCTAGCTGGTACCAATCTTCCTTGAAAATGACGAATACTTCAGAAGCTGTGGATCAGCGGCGTGTAATCTGACAGAAAAGGTTACCTGCTTTGCCGTTTACAGACGATTTGCAGTAGTCGTGACAATAATACTGCTGAACTAACTCCTGTGCATTATCCTGTTTTTGCAGTTTGCTTAATCTGATAGCATATTATGAATAGTTAAGCGAGCAGCTAACACAGCTAACAGTATTGTTCGGGACAGCTTACTGGTATCAATATTGGTTGGACAAACCAATCACGTCGCTCAAGCGTAAACATGTTCACCTGTTCAGATACGGTAAGTCAGTTGACGTCAGGGTACGTTAGTGGATTATTAGTAGCACGCTTGCTTCGCATGCTAGATATTTTGAGTTCACAATAGCGTGCACTACAGATTAAGAGCAGGGATCCTTTGCTGACTTTCTTTTATTAAATAAACACCAAATGAACCGTTACAGACCATTGGACAGGTAAGCAAAACTCTCATTTGCATCTTGTTTACAAAAATGAATATCCGTCTTCTCCGTGAACGCGTCTTCCTGAAGTTTTCTGGATATCCATTGACTGTTACTCAAATGCAAGCAAGTGATAAAAAGCAACTCCACAAATCTCGTAAGAGATCTCACTTTTCAAGAGACGTGAAGCGGATTCACGAGAAAACATACTTCTTGTATGTCTCATCAGTAGTATCCACCGTTACACGGGTATCTCGTTATAAGAGTAAGAGTAATATGAGTGAAGCTTGAGTCTAGTGATTCCGCCGCTTTTTTGGACCCATCAGAATGAATACATCAGAGCAGGGAATGACTCTAAAAATAGGCTAATGTGGATGTGCATTTTACAAATCACGCAGCCATCTGCAGTCTGTTAGTCATACATATCTGTAGTGGGTTGGAACATTAGGAAATAGATCAAGCCCTTCCGCTTACACCTGATGAAACTTCAGGCACCCAATCGGCTGAAGAGCCTAACGTTTTTTTCGAACTGGAAGTCCTGTAATTTTTGTTATACATTAAACCATGAATTGTGTCTTGAAGAATGAGTGCAATCTTCCTAGGTCTAACTTTTAGTCAAGGGTAAAAGCACCTCAAAATCTAACGAATGCGTTTTTGGGTGGCTGACAAACCAACCAGATGACCCGGGTCTTTAAATGAGCGTTATATGAGAAATGAAATATCTAGGACCTAAAAGGTGAAACGGTGTTCATTCAGTTCAGTCAAAAAAGCAGAGAAATGAGCAGAAGCTAGAGTGCTGAATAGTGTTCCAATTAGTTTCTAATCGGGCATCAGTACATCCCATTTGCGCTGTCGCGACAACTATGATCACTCCACTACTACTTATTACATAATGGTAGTTCAGAATTTCTGGCAACAGTAGTATCTTACACGGGTATCTCGTTATAAGAGTAAGAGTAATATGAGTGAAGCTTGAGTCTAGTGATTCCGCCGCTTTTTTGGACCCATCAGAATGAATACATCAGAGCAGGGAATGACTCTAAAAATAGGCTAATGTGGATGTGCATTTTACAAATCACGCAGCCATCTGCAGTCTGTTAGTCATACATATCTGTAGTGGGTTGGAACATTAGGAAATAGATCAAGCCCTTCCGCTTACACCTGATGAAACTTCAGGCACCCAATCGGCTGAAGAGCCTAACGTTTTTTTCGAACTGGAAGTCCTGTAATTTTTGTTATACATTAAACCATGAATTGTGTCTTGAAGAATGAGTGCAATCT